CCGTCCCCGAACTGTGGTGAAATGTCATAAGAGGGATCAACGAGAACAGAGGAAGCTTCTTGTGTTCTCATTGTCTACGACGGGGCAGGTGCAGGGGGAAGTCAGGCAGTGACACTTTCCCCTGTGTGATGGGGAAGATGTTGCTGTGAGTGAAGTGGGGCATGAAGTGAAGGATTCCCTTGCTGTCCACCAGATTCACCATGCTGTCTAATGAATCCCCCATTGTTGCCTGCCTTGGGTGACTAAATATAATGAAGTCCTAAGTCTCATTCAGTGAAATGCTTTAGTAGTTGAGTATCTAAGTTATTATCTTTTGGAAAGACAATGACTGGAACGGCGATTCAATGGACGAGACTGTTTTATTGTTTTAATGATTGTTTTATTGCTTGTGCGTGTATTTTTTAATTTGATGTATGTCTAATTGTAGTGTATAATTATAATTGTTTGTACTGACATGGAATTTTTGCCATTACTTATGTGTAAACTTTGAGTCCCCCTCGGGGTGAGAAAAGCGGTATACAAATACTGTAAATAAATAAAATAAAATAAAAAATATAGAGATCCGTATCCATGCCAACTGAGGGATCCTGGGAATTATCAGTTTGAAGAAGGAATAAGTATTCAGCAATATTGCACACTTTCTTTGGCACATTTTCTTGAAAGGGTCCCAATTGGTTTAGGTATTTGATATTTTTATTGCAGTGTCAGGGAGTAAATATTTGGTCCTTCAAGGGCCATGTTCCATAAATAGTTAAATATTTACTTATCTCATTCTTGCATTATTCATTCTTGTATGAAAGAATGAAAAATTGTAAACATTTTTTCTTCCTTTCAGACACAATAAAAAAGTGCTTCTATGCAATTCCAATCATTTTTCACACTTTGGAACCTTTTTTTAAAAAATCCTGTTAATGAACTCAGTGTTTTGCGTAAAACCCCAATTCTGTGCACTGAACAAAACATTTTGAACAAAAAAAACCCACTGTATTTTGCAGAAAATACACTCCTTTTCTTGTTTTGGAAAAACAATGTTCATGACAAACAATTTTTGTTCTCCAAAAACAAACTTGTAATGAGCATTTACATGATGAAAAGTATCATGTCTCAAGACACTCTTATAAAGGAAAAGAAAATTTGTGGTCAGAGATTAATATCCTTAGTTAACACATCACATTTGACTCATCCGGAAGTAGAAGGTAACCTAGCGAGGCATGTCTGATCAGCCATTATTGTGGCCACTTATGCTTTACCACAAAAGGAGGAGATGCATCAAGAGGAAAGGAGAGATAAGATGACACAGACATCTATAAAATATGTGTATAGTAATATATGTGTAAAAATGTGCATCGAGAAATGTTTGCTGTTTATCCATGCTTTACCAGAATGAGAGAATCAGTGACCAGATCTGTGTATTAGCTCGGGACATTGAAAAAAAATGCATGTTTAATGTATTGTCAAAGGCTTTCATGGCCAAAATCACTGGGTTGTTGTAGGTTTTTTTGGGCTATATGGCTATGGTCATAGAGGAAACAGAGAGGAAACAAACAAAGACATCTAATCACCTCCCAACAAAAGTTTGCTCCAGACACTGTCAGGCCATTATATGCTAATCAAGGTGGTCAGTTGAAACATTCACACCTAGCTCCAGCAGACAAGAGTCCTTTGTCCCACCCTGGTCATTCTATAGATATATAAACCCGATTTTCCTAGTTGCCACAGACCTCACTACCTCTGAGGATGCTTGCCATAGATACAGGCGAAACGTCAGGAGAGAATGCCTCTAGACCATGGTCATATAGCCCGAAAAAACCTACAACAACTCAATGCATGTTTAGTCTACAACTTTTAGAAGCCCTCCCAGCATACTACTGGGATTTGTAGTCTAAAAAGAAACTGCCATGCAATACCTGGGAATAATACACTGAAGTGCAGCTTCTGAAACCGTGTTCATTTTTGACAACCCTGGAATCAATGATGCATTCAAACCAGGAATCACCCTCTGGAAGACAGGACAGTCCACTGTTAAAGTAAAATACATGGCTACTCTAGCAACTTCCATTCATATGTGCTGTTGGAAATAAGAGTTTGCCTTTATGTGTAGACAATCTGCTTAAAAAAGAGCATAAAATTGTTTTTGGAGAGGGTTGCATACAGGTGATTGGAAAGTTCCCTGTTCTCATCTAAGAGTTGATGATTACCCTCCTACAATTTAAGAAAAGCTGCGGGTATTCTATCTATCTATATATAAATGCTCTGTGCATAATGAGTACCTTAAAAACAAAAGAACCAATGAACGAAATCACACCAAATTTGGCTACAAAACGTCTCACAACACAAGGAGTGACCATCACTCAAAATATTATGATTTTGTCATTTGGGAGTTGTAGTTGCCGGGATTTATAGTTTATTTACAATCAAAGAGCATTCTGAGATCCACCAATGATGGAATTGAACCAAACTTGGCACACAGAACTCCCATGACCAACAGAAAATACTGGAAGGGTTTAGTGGGCATTGACCTTGAGTTTGGGAGTTGTAGTTCACCTACATCCAGACAGCACTGTAGACTCAAACAATGATGGATCTGGACCAAACTTGGCACAAGCACTCAATACGCCCAAATATGAACACAGATGGAGTTTGGGGGAAATAGACCTTGACATTTGGAAGTTGTAGTCACTGGGATTCACAGTTCACCTACAATCAAAGAGCATTCTGAACCTCACGGACTGAATTGGGCCACACAGAACCCACATAATCAACAGAAAATACTTAAGGTCATCCAACTCAACTCCCTTCCTCTGGGCAAGAAAATGTAATCAAAGTCCTCCTGACAAATAGCCATCCAGCTATAGATTAGAGAGAGAGAGAGAGAGAGAGAGAGAGGGAGGGAGGGAGGGAGGGAGGGAGGGAGGGAGGGAGGGAGATATGATTCACACACACAGATAAAGTATCATAGATTTGAAAGGGACCCTTAAAGAAGGACAATGATATGTTGCATGTTCCAGGGTGGGCAACCAGACATTCTCCACATCAACACTGACAAAGAAACAGCAAAAAATACTGTTTACCCACAAGCATAAAGAAATTACATATATTAGAAACTAACGCTTTCTCATTTCTTTATTTTCGAGATCAACAGACTGGGCCACAGCAACGCGTGGCAGGGGACAGCTACATTCTTTTAAAACTGGAGCTACACCAAACTATATTTCTCTTCTGGTGGAATATGCTTTACTTATCTGCCCAGTGGCTATTTTCAGGCAACTTGTGAGAACGAAGCAACTGTTCCTGATTTTACAAGATCATAGAAGCTGCACCCACATTCCTTTCCTAGCCAAGTAGAGTAATGGTCATCTTCACAGCATGATAAGCAAGAGGATATTTTTATAATGTAGCAATCCACCTTCACACATGGATTTGGCAGGCAATGCAGATCCAGGGGGGGGGGGGGGTAATTTTATTTCAGTGCCTTTTTGTAGAATCTACACAAAAATTATGAACCTACTCTTATTCTGGAGAAAAGGAACTTCAATATTTGGATAAAATAAGATGGACAATTAAAAAGAATTAGCTGGAAAGTTTGTCTTTCCTTCTCTCTTTTTGTATTATTGTATTTTCTGGATGTAGTTTTGTAAGCCTTTTTTTAGTTGTACATGTTGTTGTTCATTCGTTCAGTCGTCTCCGACTCTTCGTGACCTCATGGACCAGCCCACACCAGAGCTCCCTGTCGGCCATCACCACCCCCAGCTCCTTCAAGGTCAGTCCAGTCACTTCAAGGATGCCATCCATCCATCTTGCCCTTGGTCGGCCCCTCTTCCTTTTGCCTTCCACTTTCCCCAGCATAATTGTCTTGTACATGTAGTATTAGGCTAAGTTCCTTGTACTTTGTTATTTTCCTATTTTTGTCCTTATTTTCTTTATGTAGCTTTGCAAGGTAATTTTTTAGTTGTACATACAGTGTTAGATTAAGATCCCTGCAGTTTTGTTATTTTGTAGTCTTTTCTCTATGTGTTGCTTTATATTATATACAAACTTTTTATGTTCATAAAGATATTTTTAAAATAAATATTTTAAAATTCATATGTATAGGGAAACATGAAGTTATTCATGAGCAATATCTATGACCAAGGCCTACACATGCACAGCATTGGAATGTATGTGCCAAGTTGTTACAGTTCAGATTCCATGACTCAGTTATCCATCATTCCACCACTAATTCACGACATATAACAAATCACAGGCCTTCAGTTGCTAACCCCACAAAAGGTAACATTTCCAAACTCTGTTGGCTTTGTATCAAAGTGCAATTGATAGAAAGCAGGCCTGTATATTTGAACCCGTGTCAAAATGTACTATAAAGATTCCCACGCATTCAAAACAGAAAACAGCCTTTTAAGGAAAACAAAATGCTGGAAGGTATCTCTTTCCATGCTTAAAATTCTAGCAGACACTGAGAGCACTATTTATTTTGCTTTAACAGGGAATCCCTTTCTCTCAACGATATAAAAGTTAGGAAACTGATTGTTATGTGGGCTGCTTTTCACTAAGAGCCTTTTAGCAATTCTGTAGCTCTCAGTTTCATAGCAGCATGTTGCTGACTGGTGATGGTCCACTGACTCTTTTCCTTTCCCTAAGTAGTTACACAAAGGAACCTCTGTGTATTTGTGTGTGTGTCAGCAGGGCAGGTGTGTGTGCTCTGGGTTTTGGCTACAGCTTAACTAAACTATTACCTTTGTTTTGCCTTTTCTGGAAGGAGAAAGCCACCTACCATGAATCATACCTTTTGTTGTAAAAGGAAGGGGGGAAAGCAAGATAAGACAAAAGCAGGGTGGGGAGGGTATAGGAAGGAGAATGCAGTTTGCTTAAAAATAACTTAGAAAAGAAATACATCCCACTTCGTGTTGATTGACCAATGGGGAGGATTGATGTGTTGGCAGAGGGTTGAGGGTGGGTCCATTCCAGAGGTCTCACATATCACCTAGCTGGGTGGACAACTCCCACAGTGGCTGGAATAAAAGGAGCCAGGGAGAGGAGAAGGGCATTCATTTCGGCCTCCAGCACACAGATTTTGTTACCAAGGTTGCATACCTCCACACACACTCCTACCATGACCAGTTACAGCTACAGGCAGTCTTCCACTTCTGTTGGAGGAGGGCTAGGTGGTCATTCCTCCTTCCGAGCTCCAAGCATTCATGGCGGATCTGGTGGCAGGGGCATTTCTGTCTCTTCTGCTAGATTTGTGTCCTCTGGGGCTGGAGGTGCCTTGGGCGGTGGATATGGAGGAGGGATGAGTGGAGGTAGCTACGGTGCTGGCTTTGGTTCTGGCTTTGGAGGAGGCTTTGGAGGTGGGTTTGGTGGTGGATTTGGTGGTGGATTTGGTGGTGGAGCTGGTGGTGGAGCTTGCAACGATGGCCTCCTTTCTGGCAATGAAAAGATAACTATGCAGAACCTGAATGACCGCTTGGCAAGCTACCTGGACAAGGTGCGTGCCCTGGAGGAGTCCAACTCAGATCTAGAGGTGAAGATTCGAGAGTGGCACCTGAAACAGGGCCCTGCTAGCCCTGCCCGTGACTACAGCCATTATTACAAGACCATTGAGGACCTCAGAGACAAGGTAGGACTGGGCTTGTAAACTACATCTCAAGGCAAGAGTTCCCATATATTAGGTTGTTGTAGGTTTTTCAGGCTATATGGCCTTTTTCTAGAAGCATTCTCTTCTGATGCTTCTAGAACAATGTTTCTCAACCTGGAGTCCCCAGATGTTTTTGGCCTTCAACTCCCAGAAATCCTAACAGCTGGTAAACTGGCTGGGATTTCTGGGAATTGTAGGCCAAAAACATCTGGGGACCCCAGGTTGAGAACCACTGTTCTAGAACATAGCCATATAGTTCGAAAAATTTACAACAACCCAGTGATTCCAGCCATGGAAGCCTTTAACAATACATCCCATAGATTAACATAATGAAGCATGGGATGGGACAGAGATCCCTGCAAAAAGTTATAAATATGTAAGGTTGCCTTTGTGTGTAGTGTGGATCTAGGAATTATTCTGATCTCCCGTCAATCTCAGCTAATTATTTTGATCCCCATCAGTTAGGTTTTCAGAGCTAGGAGAAGTTACTTTTCTGGACCACACCACCCACCATCCCTCAGATGGCTCAGGCAATGGCCACACAAGCCATTTCCCTATGCATGCATGGGGTAGTCTTGGCATCAAAGTCTGAAAAATAACTGTTTTAAGTTTTGCATATGTTTGAAATGTAACAAGTATGAAAAAAAAACCCATTCAACAGTTATGCCATGACAAATCTTGGCATGTGCATAGGATAGAGAAAGGTAACAGAAAAAGCCAATAGTAGCAATTTGGTCATCCCCGCCCCCTCCTAGTATTGCCTCTATACATTCAGCAGTAGTATATGTTCACCTCCTGAACTTTTTCCACACAAACAAAATGCAAGAATATGAAATATGCCATCTTTTCAGGATCCCTTGGCATCAGCATTTTTTGCTAGAGGAAAAAACGGAAATCTTGTATGGCACAATTACATGTTTGTCAGATTTTCATAGGAAGTCTCTGCCTCTTGGTATTTTCAAATTTAAAATCAGGATATGAGCAAACCCTATACATGTTGGACAAAATGTGTGTATAATGAAATGGTTTATATTCTAGCTGTACTGTGCTGCTAAGCATTGACATATTTAAGAGGGACATAATAGCAGTGCTGACATAACATCAAACAAGGCTGAGTTAGTGCAATAGATTTCCTAGAAAAGAGAAAAAGAAACATAATTGAAGATACAAGGCAATTCTCAAAATCGGGTCTTATATTTTTAAAAACAGCATGGATACTATATACTGAAGCTGAATCCATGTCAATCAAGACAAGATACACAGGTTTCATTGCATAATAATGAAGTAAATGGATACATTTACTAACTGTTCCTAAGCTTGTTAGCCTTGTTTGGTTTGCAGTACAACCCTTATTTGAAAAAAGAGTGGGAATGTTTTATTTTTGCAAGCAACTTTTCTGTGCCTTCCCATTCTTGCAGATTCAATGCACCTTGCACACTCAGAACACAATCTATTTCCTTATCTGTTGTTTTGCAGAAAGAACCCATTGAACACAATCATTAATGTTATTCTCATGCTACTAGATTTTATTTACATTGAGAGAATTTTCTAATTATGGTGTTATGCAAAAACCAAACTATCCCACCAGATTTTGTTCATTGATAGCCTGATTCTTGGTAGCCCCTTATGGAACTTGGTCTTCAGGTATCCAGTTCTAGATGCTCACAATGAATTATTGATATTCTGATGTGGTAACAATCACATAGTTATAGAATATCAGAGGCAAAATTAAGCTTTATTTTAAAGAATTGCAAAGGAAATTCATACCATAGGCATGCATGTAGCCGGGGGGGGGCTTGAGGGGCTTCAGCCCCCCCCCCCCGAAATTCTCATGGTGGTTCGCGAAAGGCCTTACTGGTGCATTATTTAAACTGTTATGTTTATTCATATCATGATCTGATCACCATACTCAATATATCCCATATGCATGGGGGTATTGGGGTAATGATACAAAAGGTTTGCTAGGGTAGACCCTCTTTCACTCAGACTCACCCCCCCCCCAAAAACCCCCCCCCCCGAATCGAAATCCTGGCTATGGGCCTGACTATAAGGGACACATACTTCTTAAAGCAAAGATTTGAAAAAAGCTGAGTCCGATTGTGCATCTTGAAGTCTTAAATTGTTTACATTTATGATTCACCCTTCTCAAATGCCTAAAAGTAGTAATCATGGATTGGATAGAAACTAAGTAAGTTCAATCAAGTTCCTGTTCATATCAATGGAAAAACATTAGTTTCACAAAAACATCCGTGGCTGAGAGATAGTGACTAAGTTGAGGTCGTGCATTCAGTTTAATGCCAAATAGGAACCAAAAGACAAGTCTCCCTAGTCTTAGTCCAACACTCTTACATCAACTGCATACTGAATCTCTTAGACCTGAATAGCAAGTTAAAGGGCACAGAAAAGTTACTTTTTTGGAGGACAGCAGCCCCAATTTCTTTGCCATGATGGTTGGGGATTATGGAAGTAGTAGTCCAGAAAAGTAACTTTCTTCAACTCTGGACTACTCTGAGTTTGAATTTCAATATAGTATTCCCAGTCCCTTTCCATATAAAACCGCTTTGTAACCTATGGCTTAGCCAGCTATCACCTATGAAGGAAAAAAGAAGACGAGAAAAAGTCTGTTGACCAAACTAAGCACACTATAATCTTCTTTTCTGTGTGTACACCCAATGTTTATTTTGCCCCAGCAGTGGAGTCAGTGATGCACAACATTGGTTTGTTTAGAGATGAAGCACACCCACCGCTAAAAGCACACAAAGGAAGAAAAAAGCAAACAGTTATTGTAAGGTAATTTCTTCCAGCCTCACAGTTCATGCCAATCCTCACCAAAGAAGGGATTGTCAGCAATGATGTTTAAATCTCCTGGGACATTGGGCAGGGACTGAAAGAAACCAGCAGATTGAAGAGAGCCAGGAAGGAATTTAACTCACTCCCCACAAAAGAGAACATAGTTATACATACAGTTTGCATCTTCTAATTTGCATGTATTAATACATGTGTAGAAAGCATGGCTATAAATTAAATAGAAATTAAATAAAGGGCACCCCAATGAGAAAGAGTGTCTCCTCACCAGTTGTGTGCTGTTCAAGTGCTAGATCTTGATTGGAAATGTCATGGGCTTGCTCTCTTTTCACCAGCCTTTTGGTGAACAGCAAAGGCAGTTGATGGATTAAAGATTAGTGATACAGTAAACCCACTTTAGGTTTTAATGCACATATTGCAGGAGCTATCCAAAGTCCTCAGCACTTGGATAGCTCCTTTAAAACTTCAAAACCTGCTGGAACACAATGCCATTGGTTGGTTGGTTGGTTGGTTGGTTGGTTGGTTGGTTGGTTGGTTGGTTGAAAGTGTATTTATTTTAGGTATGACTATGTCGAATCCAATATACAATGATTCTCTTGGTTGACAACTTGTAGCCTTCCAGAAATGGCTGAGTGGGAAGCCCTAGGCAGCACAGCCAATGGCGACAGATGTTTCAGCAGAGTGAAGATGTGACTGATTTTTTTTTGCAGATGGTCACAAACCCCCGTGTTGCAGAGGAGCAAGGTTTTGAAGACCATGTCATGCTAACAATGCTTCAAAAACTATAGCTTTTCTAGAAAGGTCACCATATACAGGCAAATGTTTCCATGCCTATGGTTAATGCTCTAATTAAAGAGGAAAGATGTGATATGTGCCAAAGAAAATGACCTGACATGTGTATGACGTCTTTCCTTACAGATTCTTGATGCAACCATTGACAACAACAAAATTGTCCTGCAGATTGACAATGCCAGGCTGGCTGCTGATGACTTCAAAACCAAGTGAGTAAACCTCCTGTGGACAGGGAAGTGTGGCAAGAGATGTGTATTAGGAACTATTTTCAGATGAGCAGTAGCTCTGGCAATTGATGATCGACCCACTCCACATTTTAGTTAGAACTCTGAAGTTGTAGTTTTCCAAGAAACTGAAGCTATTTGGGAGATAAAGTACCTTTTTACTTAAAAATAAAAATAAAAAGCCCAAACCCCAGCAAAGAGTCATTGGCCAACTGGAAGCCATGAGGAACTACACGTAAATAAGTAATTAATAACATAACAAGCCTAAACACACAATAAGAAGCTATATAAAAATATATTTACTATACCACAGGCACATGCTGATGATAAACAGTCATGTAAACAGCATAACACCAGAATGTTTTCAAAAGTATTTACTGGATAGGCTACTCTCCAACCACCCAGGTTAGGAATCCTGTGTCTTTCAACATTTGAAAAGAAATCAGTGTCTGTTCCACAAGCTATAACATAGGTAACTTGTACTATTCAGATGTTATTGCAACTTTCATAATCCCTAATCATTGGTTGTTCTAACAAAAGATGCTAGAAGTTACAATCTGAAGGAACACAAGTAATGACTCAGTTATACAGGGGATTTTAAAAGTGCCCACTCTGGCATTTTCTTCCCACTGGGGAAATAATAAGTAATGCAGAATTTGTGGGAATTAAGCTAATTTTCTTTTTTTAWAAAAAAAATCAAACCAGTCTGGTATATTTTAGGAGCTCCTAATTATGAGTGGTTGTTGCTCYCCCCCCCCCCCCAAAGGTTTGAGACTGAGCAGGCCCTGCGTATGAGTGTTGAAGGTGACATCAATGGCCTGCGCCGCGTCTTGGATGAACTGACCTTGGCTAGAGCTGATCTTGAAATGCAGATTGAAAGCCTGAAGGAGGAGCTGGCTTACCTTAAGAAAAACCATGAGGAGGTAAACAAAAGGCATAATTGATGAACTGAAGCCCAACTTTGCCAAAGTTACAGTGGATCTCTTCTTTGAGCCACGGTAATCCAGAAGACCTCACATTTCTCTGACGTTTTGTTGACTTTAATGGTTGAACTTACCTGGATTTGTAGATAAATATCAGTATGTTTAGAACGCAATAGTCTCATCTACAGTAGATCCATTGCTGAATAGTAAGTTAAGTAAAACCCAATAATCATTGGATCTGCTCTAGTTGGGGTCAACAACTGGATTTAGCTTTCAATGTTGTAAAACTTGGAAGCAAGCAAAGCTCTTCAGAAATGCTCTACAGTGAAAGCTGTAGAATTCAACAATTTCAAGGGGCCAGGTGATGGAATGCATAAGAAAGATAATTCCTTATATAGGATAGCCTAGATATGGAATGAGATTTAAAATCCTCTATGAAATACCTAAGCTGCTTTGAGTTCCCTTCAGGGGAGATAAAGCGGGATATAAATAAATATAATAAATATAATATTAATTCCCTTCTTAGAATTTGCTTGTACTTCTGCATAACTGACAGATTACTAGTAAGACATTGGCTTTACCATATTAACACAAAAATGGGGAAACTGGATAACCACTTCAAAAGTTGTCAGATAGCAATTCTTACGAATTGCAGCCAATGGAACCATTGACTAATCAGTGATAATGGAACTTAGTCATAGACATCTGGATGACCACAGGTTTTGTAAACCTGTATAACAAAATATCATATCCAATGGACCAAATATGAGCTAGAAAGGAATTAGTCTTCCTCATCATGACCATCTCCATTAATCTCCCTTATTCCCTGTTACTCTCCAAATATCTCACCACCCAGCCTCTTTAGATTCTCAGGAGACAAAGAGAGAGAAGATCCTTTGATCCCATCACCCCATTTATTTCTTTGGTATAAAGCATCAAATAATTTTGAGTTCATCCAAATGAAACTGTTGCCCTACTTCCTCTAGATAAATGATATATGCAAGAAGGCCCTCAATTCATGCTTTTTTCTGATTTGCAGGAACTGGGTGCTCTATCAGGGCAGCTGGGTGGCCAAGTGAGCGTTGAAGTTGACTCTGCTCCAGGAGTTGATCTCACCAAGATCCTGACTGACATGAGAAACCAATATGAATTACTGGCTGACCAGAACAGGAGGGATGCTGAAGCATGGTTTACCACTAAGGTAAGATGGGAAAAAATAGAAAACGCAGAAGTAGAAGATTTAAAAATAAGCAAACCATGCAGTAGAAGAAACATAGGATTCTTCAATTGCCTTATGCATACACCCCAAATCTCCTGATTTGACAGAGGCAGTCCCAATTAATTCTCTGGTTGCCCACTTTTTGGCTGCTTCAAAAATATCCCCTTTTCTTTCTCCTCCTCCAACTTTTCCTTTTTGTTTTTAACTAACTTCAATTGCTACAGAGTTTCAAGTACAAAAGTAGTTTTGTTCAATTAGGTCAGCAGGGGAGGGGAGGGGAGGGTGGGATCTTACCCTTCCTATTAGGCTTGGGGGGAGAAAACAGCCTGCTGTAGCCTGTGTTGTCCCAGTTGTAATCTGTGAAATGTTGGGGGCTATGCTAATGTCATTCACAAATCTTAACCTCTTGTCACAATGTCTTTCCTTTCATCACTTAAAAATACAGACTGAGGAACTGAGCCATGAGGTTGCTGTCAACACTGAACAGCTTCAAACCAGCAAGACTGAGATCACAGACTTGAGGCGTACCCTCCAAGGTTTGGAGATTGAGCTGCAGTCTCAGCTCAGCATGGTAATTGTTACTGAGGAACTTTTCTCAATATTTGTTAACTTATAAATGAATTTTCCCTTTGATGCCTGTGAATGTTGAATATCACATCTGGGACCTTTGAAGTTTAAAGCACTGGCATAGGTTTGGATATATCTCAAAATGTTTCGGTATAAACACAATATTTTTCTCAGCCTGTCTGTTGCTATAAATAATAGGAATACTTTGGATCACAAAGGGTTTATTTATTTATATTAGTATCCAGCCCTTTCCTGAAGGCTTGGAATCAGCAATAGTATGGATGGTATGTAGAAACATTTGAAGAATAGAACATTAAAATACAGCAATAAACACTTGGCAGACATTAAAACACTCTATTAAATAACTTATTCTGCTCATTAAATACAAATATCTCTAAATGTTCTAAAATAGCTTCTGAAACAGTTGGCTATGAGCAAAACTTTGAAATACGAGTCAAATATCCCTTGTCTGAAATTCTTGGGTTCAGAAGTATTTCATGCTTTGGTGTTCTCATTTTGGAGCACTTGCATATACATAAGTATTGGAGATTGGACCCAGGTCTCAACATGCAATTCCTTTATGTTTCATATACACATAGCCTGAAGGTAATTTAATATACAATATTTTTTAATAATTTTGTGATTCAAACAAAGTTTGTGTGCACTGAGCCACCGGAAAGAACCCATGCACACAATTTTGGAGTTGCGAATATTTTAGTATTTGGGTTAAGGGATACTCAACCTGTACTACTTTTTGGACTTTATCTCCCCAAAATCCCTAGGGTTCTGAGAAAAGTGGTCCCAAATAAGAATATTCCCAAGCTCTAGCCTTAAGTCCTTAAGTGACAAGATAGAATTTCCACAGTTCAGGGTTAAATGTTAAAGTAATAATGGACAAGTTCCTCTATCATGGTATATATTACATAACTTCACATATATTAGCTACATAGCAGAGGCATTAAGAAACCCTGTTCATGGATTGCAAAGTTACATAATAGGAAACTCATAAGAGTATCCCAGTGCACATCAGCACTTCCTAGCAGGTGCCTTTTTATACAGCAGGATCAATGCACTTTGCTCCCATTGTGTATTGTCCCTGTTGTGTATAGGTTCATTGTATATAGATAACTTTTCCTAGCTCCCCTATGTAGTAACGCAATAGGAGAAGACCTAAGTTCCCAACAGCATTTCAGTAAAGATGTCCATTTGATCCCATATTCCCTAACTAATGCCCAGTTCGAATAATACCTCTGACATATCTGCAGAATGGACACTTGTACATTGGGGAGGGTCATTGAATGAGTTTTCTCAGCAGTGTGCCTTCTCTTCTCAGAAAGCTGCTCTGGAAGGCACCTTGGCAGACACAGAGAATCGCTACAGTGCTCAGTTGTGCCAGATACAGAATCTGATCAGCAACATTGAAGCACAACTGGTGGAAGTCCGCGCAGACATGGAACGTCAAAACAGCGATTATAAGATGTTGATGGACATCAAGTCTCGTCTGGAGCAGGAGATCCAGACCTACCGCCAGCTTCTGGATGGCCAGGACCTCCAGTAAGTAAATGTACAGGTGTCTCGAATAAGCACTTCTTCATGCTTCCCCAAATGAGGAAATGTATCACTGGAAAAGAGGAGAGAAGAAGGCCTAAAATGTTCATATGCAATTTTTATGTATATGTGTAAATTCATACATCATTACCATAATTCATATGGCAGTAAAAGAAAGTTTAACATAGTGAGGAAGTCAGAGATGAAAGGATCTAGATGTCTCCACACTTTACTAGCCAGGTTCTTGAACAAGGTCCAGAAAGTTGCCATCTGGATGCAATGTTCATACAGGGGATGGGCAGGCACTTCTCCCATTGACTGTTTTAAACCTCAGATTATTGAGTTTTGAAAACTCAATAATCTGCTCGATTCTTTTGATGCTGATGAAGGAAAACAGCAGGAAAACCTTCTGGTATCTACCAATGGTATTTTCCAATCACACAGTAATAGTACTGTAATTCCTTTTTAGGTATTTTGATTCCACTACATGGAATCCTGAGATTTGCAGATTAGGGAAGAGTGTTTATGATTATCAGCTAGAGAGCTGTCAAATTACAAACCCCAGGTTTCCATTGTTTTGTTGCCTGGGGTGGTTGTTGTTGTTGTTTCTCACATGGACTTTTTCCCCCCTTTCTCTCCATCCTGTAGCTTCTCGGGATCTGGTTCTGGAACCACTGGTAAATGTTTTTTTTGTTTGTTTGTTTGTTTTAAAAAAAACTCATGGGGGATGGATGTCAAGATGAATTGTATTAAAAATGTATGACATAGTCACTATGTTAAACAAGTTCTAGTCTGGCCAATAATTCAATGAGAGACTCCTTGGTTAGCCACTTGGATGTCTTTCTGAACAAAGAAATAAAAGTGAGATTTAAATGTAACCAAATAAATAACTTGACATCAGGGCCAACCCAGACATTTGACTGCCCAGGGCAAAGATGGTTCTCCTTCCCTAATCAACACAGACAAGATGATGTGGCCAACTGTTGAAACAAAGTAATAAGATATCAGAACACTGGGGTGAGAGACACACAAATAATAGGGTGGGATAAATACACATTCTCGAACCAAGAGTAATCACCTGGGACTCCAGAAGCAATAAACAGACAATGACTACAATGGCACCTTAGCAACTGCTCCTGACTGAAGAGGTTATCACACCAGCCTGTTGTCTTATGACAATCATGCTGCTTAAGCAAACAGAAGCAGACTCTTATTCGAATGATCACATTACATTCTACTACAACCGTGCAATGCTGGCACTTTGGTGATACAAATTTCTTCCATCAGTCTTCTGCACAGCCTTGCTTGCTACAGACATTGCATTTTACACAAAAAAGTCTTTGTGAAATCCTTACAAAGCCTTCTCTAAAGGCAAATTACAATGAAATTTAACACTAGAATTCTCTAAATTACACTAAAACTCAAGAAGGGACTCGTTAAAATATCTTAGAGTGAATATATCCCCCCCCCCCCCCGGAATGTATAAGCCACCAGCTACCACTTGTATTGCATGCAAGAAGTTAAGGAAACCTCAAGAAAAGTTCTGCTTGTTTTTCTCATTATGGGCAGTGTCAAAAAGCAGAATAACCCAAGTCAATGTTTCACATTGAGGAAGCAAAGCTGAGCACGTGGTAAGGGAAGAAAATGACTCTAATTTCTCTTCCATTCTTCTTGTTTTCCGACAGATAAATCTGGAGATGGCAAGAAGCAGTAAAGAGCATGGCTTCTTCTAGCAGGAACACATGAAACAGACCAAAGATTTGTAACGGACCATGGCTGTAACCCACAGATGAAAATATAGTCTCACGTTCTGAAGTTGGGTGGCTGAAGGGCTTATTTTGACGTGACTCTTTGACTTAGTTTTTACTGTTCTTCCCTTTCAGTTTGGTGTCTCTTCTACCTAATAAAACTCTTTTTGGTTCCTGTGCATCTAAACAGTGTGTGGTTATTACTAAGTGCACTTGTTAACATAGTTCTAAGGAGCATTTTTCAAAGTGCATTTTGTCTGCATTTGATCAAAGGTTGGAGCACATGGGATTCCATCAGCATCTTGACCCATATCTGGATTTTTTAAATGACTTTGTCAGTTGGATGACACAGTATGACAACCCAAACAACTTCACTTTTCTAGATTCATTCATTTAGAACAGAGATCACAAACTCACATTCATTTTAGCAATGACACTTTTTAGGACAGTTGAAGGTCTTTTTCAATACACTTCTACAACCACCCTGACTATAGAATCACAGAGTAAATCAACACAGTCTGGTAACTGTGGATGGTTATTCTTATTATTTATCTGAGCTTTGGAAAAGATTATAACTGTCAGAGACACCAAACCAATACGGTTGTTGACTGTAGTCGTCTAAAAAGGTAGCTTTTCAAAAATTAGAATATTCTCATGGTGACTATGCCTATATCACCTTACAAATAATGAGGAAAGTCACATTGGTGCTAGCATTAATTTGAATCAGAATAAATAATTGCACATGCTTAAAAGTATTTCTTTTGCTGCTGTTTTAAAATTTAGATTGAAAAACACAGTGTGGGGTGTGGTGTTTATTCTTAACATCCAAGAATGTAAGTGCAGGTGGAAGATATGGCACAGTGGAGATGAGGAAAAAGAGTAAATGTCCATTGCATACTTCACATCCAAAGTAATTGCATGACCATTGAATGGGTAGATGGTTAAATCCAGTGGCAAAAACTTCTAGCTGCATTATCAGGGCTGTTACGAAGACAAGCAACAGAAAAGGAAGAAAAGGAAACATGGGTCCATTTTCCTGGGAGGGAACACAGAGAAGATTTGTGCAGTGACCTGGAGGCTCCAAGCATGAGGACATTAAAAAAAATAGGAATTTGTATTCCTCTATTGAATTATTTCATAACTGGAGGAGGACATTCAATGGCTGTTACATGAACAACCAGTCCAGGAGGAATGAGTGCTACATTCCCTTATCATGACTGCCAAGATAGAATCAAGGACATGTCAAGTGGGTGGCCTCATTCATGTACTGAAACCAAAATACAATCTAGACTGTCTGCATAACCTAGTAATGTCATCACTTCATATCATATCTAAATTGGCTCCTACACAATGTGGGTAGCAAATTAATTCCTCTTGCTCAGGGAGCTGTAATAGATGGAAAGAAGGAAGATACTTTTTGGCCCACCTAATCTAGCAGTTTTGGTAATTGCTAGTCCCAACTAGAGCAGACCTAATCAAACAATAGCACTCAGAGAATTGCTCATTTACCAAGTTTCCATTGATTCAATGGATATAGTTTAATTGGGACAAAATTAACTAACTCAGATGTCTGATCACATGTTAATTTGTGAAGCCTATGGGAGGAAGCTGTATAGCTGACTCACCATTAACCTGTTCTTACAAGTGCTATACATCTTTACAAGAAGTTTGTGTGCAATTTCATCTTTCATTAATTGCAGAATGATGTGGTTTTGCCAGGATCCAGGCCTCTGCCGGTATGCAGGCAGAGATGAACCAAGAACAACACCCAGCTTGTGTCCCAAACTATTTTACTTTATACACATAAATAAAGTACTACAAACTCCAATTCAGTATTCAGGAGTACATAGTAGCTAAAAGGTTCAGTCCAAAGGTCAAATGCCAAGATTTCACAGATGAATGTTCCAAAGAGCAAGAGTCCAAAGTATAGTCGTAGTTTCACAGTCAAGTCACGGAAGCCAAAGTTCAAGGATAATCCAAAAGTCATAGTCAAGAATCAGTCCACAGGATTCAATAGCAACAAAGTTCATCAACTCAAGTGTCTTCAAGGTTCAAAGTTCAACAAGCTATATGAATTCACCATACAGGTCTGGATGCCAACAAGTCACCAACCCAGGGGGAAACCCAAAGTCTAGACTAGCTCTTTTTATGCAGTTAATCACACCTGCATCCTATCTTTAAAGCATCCTCCCTGAATTGCAGTTGTCTGTGAGTTCTTACAGATAGATTACCCTGACCTTTAGAACCCAGGACTGAGATTAACCTCTTCCATACATTTTACAGCATCACCACCCCGCTAGTCATTATCCTGTTTTACCCATCACCAAATGCAAGGCATGACAACAACTATGGGACATTACAGGTTTGCTATAATTCAAATGGGAAGGCTTCCTTGCCTTGGATACATGTCCTTTGCCCTTTTATTTAATGCTTTTGACTGCTTTTTTTCTCATGCATTAAATAACTGCTGGGTTGGAATAGTTGACAGTGACATGATATTTCAACAGTTGGATATGAGTGTTCTAGTATGCCATAGGTCAAGTGAACGTATAACTACTGCTGGGCTGTGATGAGGGAATGTTCATAGCTTGTTCAGTCAGGTCTGAATCCAATTTTGAGTCCCAACAAGAACAGACCTATTCAATTAATAGACTCCACAGACAGGTTGACTCACTAAATTCATTGATTCTGTGGGTCTCTTAAGGTTAGCAATGGGATTGCATGTTTTAGTGTTCTGCAAGATGCTTAGCAGGTTTCCACATCAGAGTTTATGAGAGCTGGCAATATGTGATGGAGAGATGAAAAATGAACTAAGGAAAAAAATCAGTGGAAATCCTGCACCAGAACATGTACATTTACTCTCCCCATGGCTTAAGTACATGCCATTCCTCCAACTCAGTATTATAAGCAAAATTCTGGGACCATTTCACTACAAGTTCTTTAACTTGTTCAGGTTCCAAAAGCAATTCATATGTTTTTCCACTGAAGTGGATAGTATCTGAACAAAGGTTGATCTCAAGCTTTGTTTTTTCAAAATTAAAATGCTTTGAATCCATTTTAATGCTTTCAGATAGTTGTTTATATTTGTGTAATGTAAATCATATCCATCTTTCAGCAATCCCTACTTAGTTCAAATCTATATAGACCATTTTTTAACAGTAGGTCTCTGTAGATTATCCATTCCTCACTAATATTTTTATCAGCCTTATGCAGAGCTTCTTGCGTTGATATCCCAAACTGAATTTTAGAACACTAGATTTGGTCTAATGCAAATGATCAAAATGGCACATTTCACAAAGCGATGAAAGTCTATAGTAGCTTTTATCTTGTCGTGTCATATCTAACTGTGCCATCCAAACTTAAGATCATGGTCTTCCAGTTGCAACAGTCTCTCATTACTTAACATTATTCATTCTTCAAACCAAGCTAAAGGGAAACCTGAAAAATATAACTTCAAATCCAGCCAAATTCGTAACTACAGCCATTTATTATATGCAAAAGACATGGTATTCTTTCGGGAAATGACAGCTTTTATTTATTTATTTATTTATTTATTTATTTATTTATTTATTTACAGTATTTATATTCCACCCTTCTCACCCTCAGGGGACTCACGGCAGATTGCAATGTACATATACAAGGCAAACATTCAATACCATAGACACACAACATATATAGACAGACACTCAGAGGCTATTTAACATTCCAGCTTCTGGCCACCAGGGGAGCTGTTGCTTCACCGTCCATTTGTGACACTGATGAAGTACTTCCTCATTCTTTGCATACTTCCTGGAGATTTTTATGGCCTCGTAAATCAGTTAAATTAGCCTCCCCACATAAGTGGTACCTAAATTTCCTACTTGACAGATGCAACTGTCTTTCAGGCTGCAAAGGTCGACCACAAGCTACACAATTTTGGTCCGAAGCTCACTCTGACTCGGGCTGGCTTCGACCTCATGACCATTCAGTCAGTAGTGATCTTAATGCAGCTGACTCCCAGCCAGCTGCGCCACAGTCCCGGTGCTTTGATGCAAAACACTTTGGCACCCCCCCCCCTTTTTTGTGTGCAAATCATTTAAAAAATCAATGCAAAAAAGGTACCTTGTAGAATGCCTTTGAAGTTCAGACTGAAACCTGAAGTATTTTTACCATGCTACTTACAAAGCAATGTTTGCACATGAAACAAGGTTTTTTGTACATTAAATCATCAGAAAGTACAGTGTCACTACCACCACCACCCATGTGAGATAGCAGTGAGCTAAACAATAAATAAATAAAAGCTACAGGAATTGTCTAACTGACTTGGAAGCCAAACTGGTCACACAACATCCTATTTGCAGAAATTTCAAAGTATTACAGGGACCTGTAATTAAGTGGGCAGGTGCAAAAGCTTATCCACTTCCCATGGATTACGAATTTTCCATAAGAATTACAAATCCTAAAAGTAACAAGGATATAATTAAATGGTAAATAATTAAAAGGTATATAGACTAGTTCACAAATACACAAATGAGCTGAAAAAATGGATTTACTGACATGTTGTATTAGTAAGACTTTTCTGCTTTCTTCTCACTGCAGGAACAAACATATTCAATATATCCCCTGTTTTGTTCTTGCTATGTGCTTTAAAATGAATTCCAGTTTATGGTAATACTATTGCAGGGTTTGTTTGCCAAGATTTCTTCAGAACAGTTTTGCCTTTGCAACCTCAGTCTCGGCTGAAAGAGTGTGACTTGCTCAAGGTTATTCAGTTTGAGACTACATTATATGGTCAGAGTAGATTCATATACCACATTGTTTTTAATTTCTTTCTGATGACCAGAAGGGAGGGAACTGATCTAATTTCACTGGGGAGGGAGCTCCATAGCGGAGGGGCCACCACTGAGAAGGTCCTGTCTCTGGTCCCCACCGGTCGTGCCTGTGAAGGAGGTGGAACCAAGAGTTGGTCATCCCCAGAAGATCTTAATGCAGTTTGACACCACCGTAACTGCCATAGCTCAATGTTATGAAATCATAGGAGATGTAATTTCACAAATTCTTTAGTCTTCTTTGCCAAAGAATACCTGGTACTTCATCAAGCAACAAATCCCAGGATTCCATAGCATTGAGCCATGGCAGTTAAAGGGATGTCAAAGAAGGCATGTGCCCAACTCTTGGCAGGCAAGGTCATGCTCACAGTATTTTGGG